CTTTCAGGAAATCCAGTGTGACCAAAAAATTTAGAGTCAAACCGAAGTAAGTAAAATTCTTCAAAAAAATCAAAAAAAGAAAGATACTTCTTGAAAGAATATTTCCTAAAAAAAAATTTTCAAAAAATCAATAGTGAATGGGTGAAAGTTTTTTTTTAAAATTTGTTTTTAATTATTTTAAACTTTTCAAATCTTAACTTTTTAAATATAATTATAGGAAATAATAAAATTATTTTTTTAAAAAATTACTTCTCAGTTTTAAGAAAAATCATAATTAGTTTATATTTAGATTGTTATTTCTATAGTTTTAAAAAATAAAAAAAAATATTTGAAAAGTTTATTATAATAAATAAAAACATTTTAAAATCAACCTTGGTCTATTAAAATAAATCTTTATTATTATTTTCAATTAGACAAATTATTTAATTTCTATTATTTTATTGATAATCAAAAATAATCAAAATATTTATAATAAGGCTTATAATAAAAATTATTATTTAAAAAGTCTTATTACTTATGGTTTAATACTTTATTAAGATAATTATTAATAAAAAAAGCTTCTTATTAAATGGATATAAGTTTTTTTAATTTTGAAAAAAAAGAAATCAATTCAAAAGAAGAAAAAAAAACATTATAACACTTTTTAGCAAAATAGATATCTTATTATCTTGCTTTTTTTATATTATATTTAATAATATCATTAGATTTTATATTATATGAGATTAAAGTTTCTAATAATATTATTTTGGTACCAAATCAATATTGAATTTATTATAAGTTTAATATAGTAAATCACAATTTATATATTAAATTTATTATAAATTAATAATATTTTGATATTTAATTCAAAACCTTATATGAGATGTAATATATAAGAATTATATATATTGTTTATATTTCTTGTTATATATAAATTAATCAATTTAAATTTTAAACCAATTATTATTTAAGAATTTTAATATAATTAAAAATTAAAAATTAAATTGAACTAAGTAAAATTCTTTGAAAAATCAAAAAAAAGTTTACATGCTTAAAAAAATAAGAAAAGGTTTTAAAAAGAATAAAAAGAAGTTTTAAAAATCTGTGCTAATTTTTTTTAGAATCTTGAATCTTTGGAAAAAAAAAAAAGAATATTTTTTCTATAGATTCTTTTTTTAACAAAGTATTGTTACTTTTGATTTTGTAAATAGATTTTTTTTTATATTTACTTACAGAAATATAAAAAGTTTATATCAAAGAAAAAAAACAAGTAAGAAACTGAAATCTCTAAATAGTAATGTTGTTAAGGAAAATGTATAAATTTTATTACAAAGAAATATAAACTTCTTTAAAATATTTGCTTTTTGTATTTACAAGAAGATCAATAACAAAAAAAAAATTTTTTTTTATATTTTTTTCAAAATTGTATAATTTAATATATTATTATCTAAATAATATATGGATTGGTAGCTTTGAAAGATTTTAACAAAAATTGAAATTTTTAGTGAATTATATTTCCAAGAATATCAATTATCCGTGATAAAAGTTTGGATATATATTAATATACTATAATTTGATACGATCTTGCGCACATTTTTTTAAATTTATATGGTTCGATATATAAATTTAGATTGATAATCGTCGATATCTCCAAATAAAGATTTTGTCTCAAAGCATGATTTTGCTGTGTATCAATCCATATTGGTTTTAAAATTTTTTTTCTAAAACAGTTTAAATAATTATTTTGATAAATTATGTATTTTATTTTATTTTAAATAAATATATATTTTTATATACAATAATAAAAAATATTGTATATTAGATATTAAAAATTATAAAAAGGTTTATTATATATATTAAATATAAAATAAATTATAACATTTATATATATTTTAAAATTTGTTTATTGTTTTCGTTGAAGTTACAAATATTTAAGTACGGTATTTATTTTGAACAAGTTTGTCAATGACTTTCCAAAAAGATAAAATCTGTTTGCTTTTACTTTGTTTTATCCGCAATGTAAATCACACCCGATTTGTTGCCAACGGCTTTGACATACCCAACTCCGAGCATGGTACTCCATCGATTTTCTGTCGTGGAATTCCATGTGACCATGCAAAATTTTAAACGTGAAAAACATCGTTTAATATACGATTGATTAATATTTTGATATTTATTTTTTTTGCAATGAAGAGTTTTTTCAAATTCACAAGAGAAAGTGAAAAAAAAGACAATGATGATAAAGACACAAATGACAAAGAAGTAGATAAAAAGAACACTTCAAATTTCAATCTTAGTTTGGTAGCATCTGCTTTTTCTTCGATACTCGATAGTCCTGTGGTAACATATGATGAATATGTAGAACGTGGCGAGACAGTTTTACCTCAGCAAGTACTTAGTATCGATTCAGTTCATAAGTCTTTTTTAGTCACTGAGGAAGACATAGCCAGACACAGTACTTTGGCTGATAATCCTGTTGAGAAAGATAATGTTAAACTTGATATTTCTTCACCTCGCAGTTCTCTTCTCTTTTCGAAAGTCGATGGCCTTCCCATTTCACCCACAATCAATCGACATGGCAACTTGTACCAAAGTATTTCACGTCAAATTGATACATCAATGCCATCGATAGGAGGAAAACCTTTTGCACCGCCTCCACCTCCACGGAACACACCACGCAATAGCATAATGTCCAGTCCTCAACCGCCTGATCAATCTCGTCAAATACAAATATTTGTGAGCACTCTTAACTCAGAACAAAGGGGTATTTTGATTAATAGTAACGCGACCGTTTTCCAACTGAAACACGAAATTTACCTTCTTTTTGGTTATGACATTCCATGCCAACGTCTAATATTCTCTGGAAAACAACTTAGTAATGAGCGAACTCTTTCCTCCTACGATATTCAACATTCGTCCACAATACATATAGTATTCCGCTTATCCGGTGGCCTAGATTGTTATATTGTAACTTCAGATCTTCTAAATTCAAAATACGATTTTGATTTTACTAATGTTTATGATAAAGGTCAAACTTACATGCGTGGTAATCATTTGTATAAGCGACCGTGTGGATGGAAGCGGCTCGCGCTCAATGTTTCTAGTAGATATGGGTCAAATGATTGGTTGGGTGTTAATGTGAAACGACGTTCGATGACAGAATCAGTGAAGGGTGAATGGCCGGTATCATATCATGGTACATTGAAAGATAATGCTAACAACATTGCTGATAAAGGATATTTACTTGATATGGGGAAGAGATTTTTATATGGAAAGGGAATTTATTCATCACCAGATATCGAAGTGGCCGCGCGGTTTGCAAAGGTCTTTACGCATGAAGGCATTAATTATAAAGTGGTGTTTCAAAATAGAATTAACCCAAATAATATGAAAAAGATCACACCCGAGCAGACGGGCATAGGTGAGTACTGGATATCTTCTAACGAACATGATATTAGACCATATGGGCTTTGTTTTAAGAGGGTTTAAATTTTTCTATTTTAAAAATTTGTTGTCTTATTTAGATACTGTAATGGAGTATACCATATATTGACTTGTAATTTATTGTAATTTTATTAAATTAATAATTTTAATACATACATTATATTGTGTATTATATATTATTTTTATTTTTTTGGAGGGGGTTTCCCCCATAGGTAAACATTATTTCTTTATTTGATATTATATATAATTAAGTATACATCATGAAAGAAACAACATCTCTTTCATTATTTCAGGAAAGTTAAATGCTAGCTTGCCTTAACATTATTTAACTAGTGTTGTAAAAAATTTTAAAAGCAATATTAAAGTGCTAGATAAAGCTGAGTAGTAGCTATGCCTACCAACTCAAAAAATTTTGTAAAATTATTTGATTTTTTGAATATATGAAAATTAAAAAGAAAAGAATAAAAGTAATTGTAATTAAAACTAAATCAAATAAACTATAAAATCTATAAATAAAAAACCAATTATTTTTTCAAGAAAGCTTTCAAATAGGCTTGTTATCCCATTTCTCTGGCTTTTTGATTACCATAAATAATAGAGTGTATATGAAGTTGTTTGTTGTTATAGTTAGTAAATATGTAATTGATATTGTTGTTGTGATTGTTATTGTGATACAAAACCAGTTTGAACAGGTTTGATTTTTGTTTTGATTTTTAAGCAAAATATAATTAGATAATTGAAAAGTGCTGATCATCTATAGAAGATAATCTAATTTCAGTTTTTTGGCCAGATAATAATATTGAGAAATTTGAGATGATGCAATAAATATTGCCATAATGAAGAAATATTTGTGAGTTGACTTAAAACAAATAATAAACTTACTAACTTTATTTGAATATGTGTTTTGGAAAATATTTGTTTTAGTGAGTAGAATATAAAACCATAATAGACTTTTCCTTATGTAATCAAAGGATAAGCAAGATTTTCAAACTTGAATAGGCTTTAACCAAAGGTTCCATTCTACTATACCAGTTATCTTGAAGGTTTTTAAGTTTCGAAGCTATAATTTACTTGTAATAAAAAAAGTAAAATATTTTTTTTTGCTTAAAATTACTATAAATAAAAAATCTTAAACAAAATAACTATAATTAAAAGAGAGTTTTTTATTATATATTATTTTTTATATTATTTTTTTTTTTTAGTAGGTAAACATCGTCGCTTTATTATAATTATAAAATTGAAAAATTTATATAAAAAAAAGTAACATCTTTTACATGACCAATTGGTCAATGAGTTTAATGTTAGCTTGCCTATAATAAACTATCTAAGTTGCAAAGGAAAATAAATATTAAACCCAATATATTGTCAAAAATAGTGTCAAGTAGCTATAAATACCTATTTAGATTTATATGTGAAAAGACTATAAGAAGTAAAAAAGAAATAAAATACTAAACAAAGAAATAGATGCAAAAAGACTAATTGTAAAGCTAAGGATACTCCAAATAAGCATGTCACACTGATAGTTCTATTTAACTAAGGTACAATATGTGTGTACCTATCACAAATGGCCAGACTACTGTCCAAAGTATACAGTAGTGTTGATAATATATTTCTTTAATAGTTAGTTTGTTGTGATAATTGTATTGTTGTTTTGTTAATATAGCTAGTAATTGATTTGTTTGTTGATAGTATGATTGGTTTGTTTATTGATAATGTAATTTTATTTTGATTTTTATTGCCAAAAAAGATTTTGTTTATATTGATCAATGTGTGATATTTTGGTAGTACAGATTTGTTTGAATAATTGGTAATGTTTGATTAGTTGGTTTTGAAATGTTAATCAATTAACAGGAATAAACTGATTGTGGTTTTTTTGTGAAAATTTTTTTGAAAAAAAGTTTTGTAGTTTTTGTGGCACAGCAAATTATGCTGGACAATAGTAAAAAATAAACAATAAATATATTGCTAGTCCTTCAAATCAACAATATAAATATTTTTAAATGTGTGGTTTGGTTTTTTTGTTTGCAAAGAAGATCTTCAAGAAAAGAATATGATTATTTAATAAGAAATATATATCTGTAAGAAGTGAGAATGGAAAGAATCCCAAAGAAGATTTATAAAGAAGTAACTAACATGGGCCTTTTCTTATGCAATCCAAAGAAAGAGCAAGGTCCCCAAACTTGCTTTTCTTTGATCAGAGGTCCCGTTCCAATGCACTAGTATACTTCTTTAGTTTCCTTAAGGTTATTATAGTGAAGGTAAAGGACGTGTAAAAAACTTTGGAAAGTTAAAAGATAAGAAAAATATTTGTTTCTTTAATTTTGAAAGATAATTACTAAAAAAAAAAATTTTTAAGAAAAAAGTTATATATGAAAAAGAGTTTGATCTATATATTATTTTTTAATAATTTAATATATAAAAATATATTTAATAATTTAAATATTAACAAATATTAATTATTAAAAAACTAATATATTATTTTATTATTACAGATAATTTCTTAAATACATAATCTCTTTAATATACTCTTTTTTTATAGTTTCAAGTAGTGTTACAAATCGTTAGTTGGAAAGTTCAAAATTAACCAATCATAATTCAGGATTTTTAGTTACAACTAGTTGATTATATTAAAAACAACTAATCGATTAAAAAATTTTTTGCCAATTAAGATCACTAGTTTCAAGTTGAAAAATAACATTAAATATATTTATATTTTAATAGTATAATAAATTTTCAAAAACTTGTATATTAAAATAAATTCTTTAAATTTATTTTATATAATTATATAATTTGCAATTAGAATATAAGCCAGTCAAATTAAATTAATTTTATTAGAATTAAAATAACAGATCAGAATTAATATCAAGCTGGACAAAATTAAAATAGCTAATTAAAAATAACATAAAGTTGGACAAAATTAAGATAACTAATAGGAATTAATATAAAGTTGAACAAAATTAAAATAATTAATTAAAATTAATATATCAAAAATTAAATAAAATCAATAGTATAATATATATTTTTACTTGATTTTAGAAAAATATACAATATATATTTAAAAATAATTTTTTTTATATATTCTTAATCAAACATTTATAAACATATTTATTAATATATATAAATATTATATTAGTAAAAAACTTTTTCCACTAATTCTCTTGTCAACCTAAAAACAGATGTTCCAAAGAAATTTTATATTTCTCTATAACAAAGTCTATACATACTTTCTAATAACATTATTATTCAAAAATTACTGTCTTTCTTACTTGTTTTTTTTTCTTTGACTATGGTTCTGAAAATTGAAATCAAACAGAATCATAGAGAATTGCATAAGGTTTGAAACACTATTAAAAATGATAGTGAGGTATACCCCACCTATTTAATTTAATATAAACTTGAGAATCAAATACAGAATTAAAGAGAATTGTTAGGATTCTTATCTTTAATATAAACTTTTTATATTTTTGCAAGTAAATACAAGAAAAACCCACCTATAAAGTCAAAGGCAAAAACATTTTGTTAGGAAAAAGAACCTGTTAAAAAAATATACTCTTTCTTTCTTTTAAAGGTTTAAGACTCTAGAAAAGACTATTACTGACTTTTGGAACTCTTTTCTTATCTTTCTCAAGTCTCTCCTATCTTCTCAAGTGTATATACTTTTTTCTGATTTTTTTAAAAAATTTTGTCTACTTTAATTTGATATTGAATTTTTGGTTACACTGAAATCTCTAAATAATGATTGGCTCAAAATTTGGATTAGTTGATCCATATGTAGCAAGAAATATAAACAAGACATGTAAATCCTATATGTTTCATCTTGTATAATTTATATCTGATGATATAATTGATAACAATAAAAAGAGCAAGGCAATGAGGTATACTCTTTAATTAAAGAAGTAGTTTAATACTTTTTCTCTTCTTTCTTGAACTGGTTTTATTTCTCTTCAAGATTAAAGAAAGATTTTATTCCAATTCATTAATAAGCTGCTCTATTGTTAATTATTCTGAAAATAGTTAAAGAAAGAAGTCTTGAAACTATCTACTAATTGAATAAAGCCATAAATTCTTGAAAAATCAACTGGAAGAAAAATTGCCAATTAATACCAATCTTTTTTAAAGATTAAAAAGTCTTCAAGCATAAAGTTTTAAGAAACACTCTTCTAGAAATACTTTTAAATATTCTTAGTTAACAATAGAATAGTGGAAATTAAATAGTTAACCAGCTGCAAATGGTTGGACTAAATAATAATTAAGAAAAGTTTTTGTTTTACCAGTGAAACCTTTCCTTTCCCTTTTTCCTTCTACTTTTATTTTTTAAAAAAATAAAAATTTTTATTTCTTAGAACTACAGGTTCATATTGGAATAATAGTCTAAATATAGGCTGGCAATGATTTTTCAAAATGTAGACTTCTAATGTCTTGTCTTGAAAAGAAGCAATATTATTATTTTTTATGATTATACTATATCTAGAGAGTTCAAAACTCATTAATATGTATTTTGCAAAATTGTACTAATTTAGCTTTAATATAGTATCATGTGTAAAGATAGGTTCTTAAATTAAAAGCAAAAATATAATTCAAATATCCCTTATTATTGACACTAGTATAAAAATCTCCAATCTTCAGGCTTTGACAAAAGCGAACAAACTTCTCATTAAAAAGAATAAGGTGAATTGCTCCTCACTACTAGCCTTCAGGGCAAAAATGATCAGTGATTTACTTCACATCAGACAACTCCTTCACAAAAGATATCCCAGCACGTACGAAGACAACTTGTGCTCCAGATGTCTCACTGAGACAGAGACCCAGAGACATGTTTTTGAATGCTACAAAAGTTTACCCGCATATAGAGAGATCGAAGCCAAACTCAAAAAAAGCTTGACGAAACTCTCAAGCAAAAGCAGCTCAAAAAAGAAGACAGTCAATGCAAACAGTCAAATACAAAGACTAAATCTAGAAAGAAAGACAGGATTGAACAAGGTTGCATGCGATATGACAGAAATAGATTTTTACTTATCAACAAAGAGCCACACCAAATTCATAAA